TAAGTTATATTACAACGTCAAGGGAATGTGTAAACAGATATATTCGATCCATCAAACAATAATGGTTGTGTTGGGGGCAGCCATCGATAGGAATCGTCTGAGACCAAACTTGACTAAAAAAGTCAAAAACAATTAGATTAGTCCAATAACAACGAATGAAAGCAAAAATTAGAGTTATAAAATCAGTACTTTTTCTACAACAAATGTACTTCTTTCTACAGACAAGAAGTGATTAAAAACTATAACCGCTCTTTTGGACTCTTTACATAAACTGCTTTGATTCTACATCACTTAATAACGAAAAGATAATTACACTGCAAATAGACTAAAATAGAAAACTCATAATCAGGTCATTAAAAAATGTGTATTGCTCAGAAAGCATAAGCAGTATTGAAACTTCAAAATCATATCAACTCAAAAAAGTTAATTAATATTCTCAAGGAATTAACGACAAACTTTCAGTACGCGAGAATCAAAACCAAAATTGAAATTAAAATTAGTAAGAAGAGCTAACACTTACCACTTTCTCGCCTCGCGATAGCTGAAAACTGTCTACCAGCTCTTTGACAGCATCCTTCAAACCATGATTTGCAAATTTAACACTTTCCAAACTAAAAATTAAGAAATAATTTTTCAAAATAAATGAACACTGGATGAGTGACAAAACAAAAGTCTAAATACTTTTTTGGAGCAAAGAGCGATGTACTCTTTATCCTTTGGCAAATAATTCGACTGAGTGGTTCATCAAAAAGTGGGATTCCAAAAACGCAATCAAGCACTAGAAAATCCGAAAAAGTTTCGTCACCATTCATGCCCCGCCGGTAAGACGGAACTTTTCTAAAAGGTTTTTTAATAGCAATAAAGAAGCACCATCTAAAACAGCTGTATCAGAAAAAAGAACGCAATGCTGCTTCTATAAAACGCACTAAAAATACCCAATGAAAGTATTAAAATACCCGAAAAACTATATTCAAAGTATAAATAATTGAAATATATTTCTCACCGAGGATCCTTACTGATCACCGCATTTCCCAGCACTGGCTTTATCAATGTTTCATCCGTTTTCGGTAAAGCAGCGAATCTTCGTTTTATAAGAATCACATAACCGCATAATACATTTAAACTTAACAATTCCCGAAGCTTTTGAACAGAAGGATGTTGAGAGAAACTATCTAAAGAAATCTACTTTTCGAAAAAGAAAAACAAAGCAGAATGTGAAGCCTAATAAAAATTAAAAAAATACAGACTGAAAAAACTAAGAAGGGTGTTCAAAAGTGTAAAATACGCAACAAAAGATAACTCCAACAAACTACGCTTTTACAACATATTCCAGCAAAAAAAAAACCTACTTTTGTCTTCACCATTTTCAATAAATGGAAATGGAACATTAACGACCTCCGAATCGTCTGTTACAGCGCTGTATTCCTAAAACGATTTAGCCAATAGAACTAAAACAACCTTAGGGCTTATCTATATGACACCGCAACATTACCTGCAAAAAAACTGCATGTGTTTGCAAAGTGTCGTTCAAAGAAGCCAGGCAACTATGGACAGAGACAATAACAGGTTCATGAGCTGCTGTATTCAAAAGCAAGCGTTTGGACTTCCAAAATGCATGAGGTAACTCCGAAACTCTTGTACCTTTTGGTATATACATAGATATTGGACCAGCACATAAAACTTTATATAAGTAAAGGCGAAACCAAGATGTGCAGACCTAGAAAAAACGGCAGATGAAACCCCAGGAGTATTGCTCAAGAACTATTTTACATATTTTAAAAAGCACTTTAAAACATCCCAACAAAAAAAATTATATATATGTGTTACCTCTGTGACTGCCGGTCCGAAGTGAGGCAAAGAAGGAGTAGAAAACGGGCAAGCATCCGAA